AAGGGCAGGAAAGTGGACTGCCATTGGTTGTATGAGTCATTACAGTAGGTTTATTGGGCCCAAGGGCCTGTTCTTGTGCTGCGCTGCTCAGGATGAGAAATGTTGGATCAGCCATGATCCTACTAAATGGCAGAGAAGGCTTGAGAAGTCGAACAGCCGCTCCTGTTCATAGTTCATATTGTCTTATGGAAGCTGTGTGAATTTAGATAAATGTGAGGTGCTGCATTTTGGAAAGGCAAATCAGGGCAGAACTTATACACTTAATGGTAAGGTCCTGGGGACTGTTGCTGAATAAAGAGCCCTTGGAGTGCAGGTTCATAGTTCCTGGCTTAGTCATAAGGGACAGAAAGTAGCGATGGAAGGTATGATCTTCAGAATGGAGGGTTCTGACTAGTGGTGTTCCACAGAGGTCGGTGCTGGGACCTCTGCTGTTCGTGATCTACGTAAATGATTTGGAGGAAAATGTAGCTGGTCTAATAAGTTTGTAGACAATACAAAGATTGGTGGAGTTGCAGACAGTGAGGAGGATTGTCAGAGGATACAGCAGGATATAGATCAGTTATAGACATGGGCAGAAAAATGGCAGATGGAGTTTAATCTGGACGAATGTGAGGTGAAGCATTTTGGAAGGTCAAGTACAGGTGGAAGTTATAGTGAACAGTAGAACCCTTAGGAGTATTGATATGCAGAGGGATCTGGGTGTGCAGGTCCACAGCTCACTGAAGGTGGCATCGCAGGTAGATGAGGTAGTAAAAAAGGCTTATGGTATGCTTGCCTTCATTGGAACGGGCATTAAGTATAAGGATAGACATGTTATGCTGCTGCTTTATACAACTTTTGTGGGCCACACCTGGAATATTGCATCCAGTTCTGGTCACCCACACAACCAGAAGGATGTGGATGCTTTGGAGAAGATACAGAAAAGGTTTACTGCGATGTTACCTGGTAAGGGGAATTTTAGCTATGAAGAAAGGTTGGATAGACGGAGTTTGTTTTCACTGGAAGGCAGGAGGTTGAGGGATGATCTATTAGAAGTTTATAAGATCGTGAATGGCATGGATTGAGTGGAAAATATGATGCTTTTTCCCAGAGTGGAGGGGTTAATTACTAGGGTACACAGGTTCAAGGTGCAGGATAAGGGAAATATTATAAGAGATGTGCGAGCGTGTTTTTCACACAAAGGGTGGTGAGTGCCTGGAATGTACTGCCGGAGGAGGTAGTGAAAGTAGACACAATAGCAGTGTTCAAGAAGCACCTGGATGAATACATGAATAGGAAGGGAATAGAGGGATACTGATCCTGTAAGTGAAGACAGTTTTAATATGGAAGGGCAAAATGTGTCAGCACAGGCTTGGAGGGTTGGAGGGTTGAAGGGCCTGTTTCTGTGCTGTATTGTTCTTTGTTCTTGAAAGTGGAGTCACATGTAGATAGGATAGTGAAGAAGGTATTTGGTATGCTTGCCTTAATTGGTCAGTGCATTGAGGATAGGAGTTGGGAGGTCATGGTGCGGCTCTGCAGGACATTGGTTAGGCCACTTTTGGAACACTAAGTGCAATTCTGGTCTTCCTGCTATAGAAAGGATGTTGTGAAACTTGAAAGGGTTCAGAAAAGACTTACAAGGATGTTGCCAGGGTTGGAGGGTTTGAGCTACAGGGAGAAGCTGAATAGGCTGGGGCTACTTTGCCTGGAGCATTGGAGGCTTGCCGGGGAGAGAGGGTTGCAACCTCATAGAGGTTTACAAAATCATGACAGGCATAGATAGGGTAAATATGACAAGGTCTTTTCCCTGGGATGGGGTGTCCAAAATAGAGGGCATAGGTTTAATGTGAAAGGGGAAAGATTTAAAAGGGACCTGAGGGGCAACCTCTTCACACAGAGGATGGTGCATGTATGGAATGAGCTACCAGAGGAAGTGATGGAGGCTGCTACAATTACAACATTTAAAAGGCATCTGAATGTTTGATAACAGGCGTTTGATAAGGTTCCCCATGGTAGGCTCATGCAGAAGGTAAGGAGGCATGGGATAGGGCGAAATGTGGCAGATTGGATTCAGAATTGGCTGACCCTTAGAAGACAAAGGGTGGTAGTGGACGGAAAATATTCAACATGGTGCTCAGTTAGAAGTGGTGTACCACAAGGATCTGTTCTGGGTCCTCTTCTATTTATGATTTTTGTAAATGATTTGGATGAAGGAGTGGAAGAGTAGATTAGTAAGTTCGCGGACGATACGAAGGTGGGTCGCGTTGTGGACAGTGCGGAGGGCTGTTCTAGGTTACAAAGGGACATTGACAGGATGCAGAGCTGGGCTGCGAAGTGGCAGATGGAGTTTAACCCTGAAAAGTGTGAGGTGATTCATTTTGGAAGGAAAAACTTGAAAGCAGAATACAGGGTTAACGGAAAGATTCTTGGCAGTGTGGAGGAGCAGAGGGATCTTGGGGTTCATGTCCACAGTTCCCTGAAAGCTGCCACCCAGGTGGATAGAGTTGTTAAGAAGGCGTATGGTGTGTTAGCTTTCATTAATAGAGGGATTGAGTTCAAGAGCCGTGAAGTTATGCTCCAGCTATACAAAAGCGTGGTCGGCCACATCTGGAGTATTGTGTCCAGTTCTGGTTGCCTCATTACAGGAAAGATGTGGAAGTGTTGGAAAAGGTGCAGAGCAGATTTACCGGAATGTTGCCTGGAATGGAGGGAAGGTTCTTACGAGGAAAGCTTGAGAGAGCTAGGGCTTTTCTCTTTAGAACGACGAAGGATGAGAGATAACTTATTGGAGGTGTACAAAATGATCAGGGGCATAGATAGAGTAGACAGCCAGAGACTTTTTCCTAGGGTGGAGGTAGCTATTACGAGGGGGCATAATTTTAAAGTGATTGGTGGTAGATATAGGGGAGATGTCAGAGGTAGGTTCTTTACTCAGAGAGTGGTCGGGGCGTGGAGTGCATTGCCGGAGAGGGTAGTGGAGTTGGCCTCATTCGGGGCATTTAAGCGGTTATTAGATAGGCATATGGATGATAGTATAAGGTAGGGGTGGAGGTTAGATAGACCTTAGGTTTAGGGTAAAAGTTTGGCACAACATCGTGGGCTGAAGGGCCTGTACTGTGCTGTACTGTTCTATGTTCTGAATGGGTATATGGATAGGAAGGGTTTAGAGGGATATGGGCCAAATGCTGGCAAATGGGACTAGATTTATTTAGGATATCTGGACGGCATAGATGAGTTGGACTGAAGGGTTTGCTTTCATGCTGTACATTTCTATGACTTTCTATGACTACAGCTCTACAGAGCCACAAGTGTGGATAGCTGTAATGACAGCATGACATTGTTTACATAGTCAGTTTTCGTGAATAACGCTGCCTGAGAACTACAGATTGGAGGTGTGTGAAGTCTTGTGATGGTTAACAGATCCAATAGTGATGACTGTACCTGTGATTGCTGCCTGTATCCTAAGAGAAGACGATTCCTCTTCCTGTGACTCGATCATTGCACTCTCCGGCTGCGATATGGTTTTGTTCCAGGCTTCCAGAACGTTCTCCCTCTCGCCCTGATTGAAGCTGAGCGAGTGTGGGTGGTTCTGGAGGATGTGCTGTTTGATGGTACTAAGGGTGACAGTAGCCAGCAATTTGCCACACACCATGCAAACGAGTGTGTGCCACAAGTGGTCATAGTCCATCAGGTACTCGTATCGCCAGTGCTCCTGGTAGTGACAGCGTGGCCTCTTGCCAGCTGACCAGTTAGGACCCATTCCTGGCATCACCAGTTGCACTGCTGTGCAGTCACGCTGCAAGGCCCTCTCGTTCCAGGCTTCCAGGATGTTCTCCCTCTCGGCCTGGTTGAAGTGCAGTGAATGCGGGTGGTTCTGGAGGATGTGCCGTTTGATGGTGCTGAGGGTGAGAGTAGCCAGGGATTTGCCACATACCATGCAGACTAGGCCGTGCCGCCACCAGTCATAGTCCATCAGGTGTTCGAACCGCCAGCGTTCCTGGTAGTAACGACGGGTACCTTTACCAGGCAACGTGTTCAGGGCACTGTGCTGTGGCATCTGCTGTTCCACCACCCGGTCATTATCAGCGGGCAGTTGTGGCTGATCCAGTGACACAGGAAAACCCATCACCTCGACCGCACAGCCGACTTGAAGAGGATCCAAACGGGCGGTGGTCCCTTCAGGAACAGGGGAAAACGTAACCAATTCACCAGCAGATAGCGATACACTCATCCCTCCCCGCTCACACATTAGACCCCTCTCCCCTCAACTCCCACCCATGCTTTCACCACCCACACATGCATTGTCCACGGGCCTCTAGACCAGGTGGTGGGGGGAGGGAGTTGTCCTCAGGATCATGTGAGGGGGAGTAGGTTAGCCTCACGACCATGTGATCAAGGAGGGTTTTGGTCTCGGGACCCTGTGGTTGGGTGAGGGAGTTGGCCTCAGGACCATATGGTGGGGGGGAGGGGAGAGGGTGTTGGCCTCAGGATTCTGTGGTGGGGGGGGAGGGAGGGGGAGGTGGGCCTCGGGACCATGTGGTGGGGGGAGGGGAGACGTAGTTGGCCTCATGACAATAGGGCGGGGGTGGGGCTCGGTACCTGTATATGTCTCAGGCTCCGCCCCTGACTGCCGGACGCTGCTCTCTGATTGGTGATGCTTGTGCCATTCCGCTGCAACCTCACGGGTATGCCGTGTCACATTTCCTTGCACCTGCCTGGCTAGATCGACGCCCGATTGGTCAACGCCACCGTCCGTCACGGGGGCCCGTCTCTCTGGAGCTGATTGGTCGAAGATCAGAGTGCACGCCCCTCGCCCTCGCGGTGATTGGCCGCCGTGGGAAATGACGGGCAACCTTTCCCCCTGCAACTCGAGGCCCGATTGGTGAGAAACGGCGGGAACTGGCTCCACGATCGCTAACTGATCACAGCGGAGGGGGCGGCGCCAGTGGTGTCCCGCCCCTGACACAGCGGGCTGTGATTGGTGCAGGCGCCGATCCATCCAGGTCGCCATGACGACGCGCCGCTGTCGCGCAGTGAGTCCGAGTGAGGCTTGGTGTCTTTGGAGAATGTGCCGCTTGATGGTGCTCAGCTTGAGGGTGGCCAGACCGCTGCCGCACACCATGCACACCAGGCCGTGTCGCACGCCATCGTAATCCATCAGGTACTCAGTCCGCCAGCGCTCCTGATAGTAACGCCTCACGGGCCGCCGGCTCAGCGCCGCTTTCCCTGGCTCTGGCCTTGGCGGCGATCCCCCACCCGGAGCGGCCTCGGCCGGCCCTGGATCCGGGGCGGGGGGTATCCCTGTGGGAGGAAAATCGCACATCCGTTGGGCGTCTGAGCATTTTAATTCAGTGCCTACAATTCAATCTAGTTCCTGCCTTTTCCATTTCCGTAGGAGGCCATTCGGGCCCTCGAGCCTGTTCTGCCATTCAGTAGGATCATGGTTAAATTCACATTCATTTTCCTGCCCTTTTTTTCCCGGCACCCCTCTATTTCCCCGACTGATCCAGAATCTATCTATCTCAGCCTTAAATGTACACAAGGACTCTGTCCCCACAGCTCCCTTATGCCACGGAGTTTCAAACACTCACAACCCTCAGAGAAAAGAAATAACTTCCTCATTCTCAGTCTTCAATTGGTGCCCCTTTACACTGAGATTGTGCCCTTCTGCTCCTAGACTGTCCCATGAGGGGAAACATCCTCTCAGCATTGACCCTGCCAGGCTCCTTAAGAATCCTACACATTTCAGTGAGATCACCTCTCATTCTTTTAAACTCCAATGAGTAGCATTCATCATAGAGACGTACAGCACGGAAATAGACTCTTTGGTCCAACTGGTCTATGCGGATCAGATATCCTAAATTAAGCTGATCCCATTTGCCAGCATTTGGCCCGTATACCTCTAAATCCTTCCTATTCATTCCCATCCAGGTACCTTTTAAATGTTGCAATTGTACCAGCCTTCACTATTTCCTTTGGCAGCTCATTCCATGCACACACCACCCTCTGTGTGAAAAAGTTACCCTTGTAAATCTTTCCCCTCTGACATTAAACCTATGCCGTCTAGTTTTGGACTCCCCTACCACAGAAGACGACTTTGGCTATTCACTCTATCCACATCCTTCATGATTTTATAAACCTCTATAAGGTCATCCCACAGCCTCCAATGCTATAGGTTAAATAGTGGAGTCCCAACAGTTTGGCCTTTGCCAATTCAATTGCCAAGACAATTCCTCCATGCCAGGGATCAGCCCAGTAAACCTTTACTTAACTGCCTCTAATGAAATGACATCCTTCCTTAAATAAGGGGCCAAAAGTGCTCGCAGTGCTCTAGCTGTGGTCTCACCAGCACCTTGGACAGTTGCAGTAAGACTGCTCTACTCTTATACTCCAACCTCCTTGAAATAAAGGCCAATATTCCATCAGCCTTTTATCTGCAATGCTTGTGTACTGGCTTTGTGTTTTGTGCACAAGTATCCCCAAGTCCTCTGTGCTGCAACTTTCTGCAGTTTCTCTCCATTTAAATAATACTGTTCTTTTATTCTCCCAGTTCAGAAAGAACGACATCACATTTTTGCACATTATATTTCAGTTGTCACCTTTTTGTCCAATATATAGTAAACAGTTGCAGTCCCAGCTTTGATGCCCGTGAAACCCCACTGGTTACAGGTTGCCAACCTTAAAAAGAACCCTCTTATCCTCGCTCTCTGTGTCCAATCCATTCGCCAGTTTTTTTATCCACACAAATATACTATGTCAACACCATTGGCTCTTATTTTATAACTTGACCTTTTGTGAGGTACTTTGTTGAATACCTTCTGCAAGTCCAAATACATCTGGTTCTCCTCTATCCACTGTTCTTTGAGACATTCTGGAAAACCTTCAATAAATTAATCACGTGATTTCCCTTTTATGAGGCGAGAGACCTCATAAACTTCACGTAGAGCTCGGAAAGAGACCCTTCAGCCCATCCTGTCGGCACTGGCTGCCTAAATGAGCATTGTTTGTTGTTCACAGAATTTAATACGGCACAGGGTGAAGCTATTTGGTCCAGCCTGTGTCAAAGTTTATCAAACACAAAAGAGAAAGAAACACTGTTTTACACTATACAGGAACTAATTGAAAAGGGACTTACTACAAACACCAGAAATAAAGATCCAAGTCTGATACTCTCAACACCCACCATGGGATGAATGCATGTATACATAAGTCCCACTATTCCATTATTTATATTAGTGTAAATGTATTGAATTGATTAACAAAACATCCAATTGTTTCACTTTAGTATGACTATCAAAATGAAAGAAACATCCATAGAGTTCTTTAATAATCTCAAATAATTTGTTCATTATGAACAAACCATATTCTTAAAGCAAATGGGAAATATGGATTAACATCTAAGTTACAACCCAAATTAAAGCCATATACCCTCAATGCCATATAAAGACACACACATCACAAAAGGCAAGTCTCTGTAAAGATGATGGTTCAAAAAAAAACAGAAGGGGATAAACTATGCCTGGGGGGTACAACCTGGAAGCAAAAGTATAAAATATAATGATTTTTCACATCCACTGAATTTCATGTCAATGAAGCTGAATTATTGATAGCTGTAAGTTGATGGTAGATGCACAGTTCTACAAACATAAAAACTTACAAATTAGTGACAGAAGTAGGTTGCTCAGACCCTCCAGCTTGCCCACTCATTTTATAAGATCATGGCTGATATATTTGTGTGTGAATTCTATTTCCAGACAACTTGACTTGAGTTGCAAGAAAATGGTCAGGGACCACTAGTTCAGGTTTTACTAGGTATACAGAAATACTGGTATTTGGAAATTCCCATCAGGTTCCCAGAAACTTCTACTGAAAATAGGATTTCAGGAGAGAGTCGGACAGTTTCAGTGGTGTCTTCTTTACATTGATTCTGGAGTCTGCAGAGCAGAACCTGAAGACCAGAGAGGGTTGGTTGTTAACTGTTAGCGTACAGATCCCTAATTCTCTCAAAAAACGGTTTCTTTTTACTAATGAAGGCAGTAACCTTCTCCCCTCCCCTCCCATCTCTTATCTGCTTGAAAGCTTTGCTTAGCTGTTTCTTCAAAGTCACAAGTTATGGTAAAAAGTAGCTTTTGGAACCAACCTGGAAAAATTGAAATTTGGGCTGCTTTGGTGCAGAGAATGAACAGTTTTTTTTAAACATATAACTCAAAGGAAAGTTGAACAACATAATCACTTATTGGCTACACAGACATGTTTGATTTAAAGAAGCTGAATTTTGATACGTCTGACTGGCACCAGGAGTTTTTATAAACAAAACTGTTCAGCGACAGGGTTTGGATTGGTTGCAAGTGGCAATTTTGTCACACCACTGAGAGGAAGCAAAACATTTGGGATACATCTCCAGAAAGCTTGTAGCAAGATGGATCCACCTCTTTCTTTTTAATTGGAAATGGAATAACATTCATAGACTTTGCAAAAAGGAAAACAATTTTGAATTCAATCTAAGACCTAAGTCAAACTGACGGAGATTACCTATCCTGGAGCTTAAATTGATCATATTTCATACTGGTGATAACATGTAGTATAAGGCTCAATTTCCAGCACACTATTCCCACTCGGACCATGACATAGCACATACTAAAGGGATCAAGGCATATGGAGAGAAGGTGGGAATACTGAAATTTGCATGATCAGCCATGATCATATTGAATGGTGGTGCAGGCTCAAAAGGGCTGAATGGCCTACTCCTGCACCTATTTTCTGTGTTTCTCTGTGTTAAACTGTTGATTTTACTTTCCAAGAAATCACATGGGAAACCCCTTCTCAATCCAGAGAATGTCCAAATAATTCAAATTCATCCAGATCTCCTATTGTAAGCTTCCCTTTTCAGTTGGCACAGCCGTAATTGTTTTCTTTATAGCAAATGTCTGAACTCATTCAATGCTAGCTTCTTCAGCTATTGTCTTTTCATGACACCAGTAAGTAGTATGCTAACACAGCTCACTTATTTCTTAACATGGATTCCTTAAGCTCTCCTTCCACAGTCTTCTGTCCATGGAGCTTTCTATCACTGACATTAAGACACTCATTTTCCACCTAATCTCCTTTGGAGGCTGCAAAATAAACAGCACCTTTGCTTCTGTATATTCTCTGTGAATAGAAACCTGCACACTCACTGACTTTCTGAATAGTTCTCTCTTTCCAAAGGAAAACCTTCTGTCCCCCTGTATCATTGAAAATCTGGCTGTTAGGTGACAGTCCTTTTTTCCCCTCTCTTCTAACCTGTTTTTTTTTCTCCTGAATCGCTGAAGTATTCACCACAAGGTTTTTTTTCCAAAAGGCCTGTTCTCTTGTACAGAAGTGACCCATACAAGAGGGACGGGTTGCACCTGAATGGGGGAGGACCAGTATCCTACAGGGAGAGTTGTTAGTGCTATTCGGGAGGCTTTAAACTAATGTGGAATTTGGTGGAGTTCTCTAAATGTCTTTAAATACATTTACATACACCCCAATAAAAAGATAAAGACACCATAGTCCAACTTAAAAATAAAGCTGTTCTCTCATTAGAGAGAACCGGTTGGTGGTGATTTAACCCGTGTGTGACCACACCTCAGGCGAGGAGAGAGGTTGAGAAGGCAGTTTTCATGGTAACCTCAGCCAACATAGGAATTGAACCCTCACTGTGGGAATCACTTTACACCGTAAACCAGCCAGCCACCCAACACTCTCAGAACTCAAAAATGACACGAGCTTCTTCCTTTCATAAGCCACAACAATATAGAAATACAAAACAAACTTAAAGCTATACATGAAATTTTTAAAAACATAAAAAGCAGAAATTCAACAGGTTTGGCAACAACTGTTGAAAGAGAAACAGAGTTAATATTTCAAGTCCAGTATGAAATTGAATTTGAATCATTAATTCTGTTTCTATATTAACACAGCTTGTCAGACCTGCTGAGTTTCTCCTGCACAGTTCTTATTTCCAGCATCCAAAGAACTTTACTTTTATTACGGCCCAAAATGGCTGTGTCCACTTTAGAACCCAACATTCCAAATAACAATGGATAAAATATTTTGAACCTTTATCATAGAAGTAGAATCCTTACAGAAAAAGAAGGCCATTTGGCCCATTGAGTCCACACTGACCCTCCTAGACCCAGCAGCACCCCCCCTCCCCCCCCCCCCACCCTATCCCCATAACCCCACATTTACCATGGCTAATCCACCTAACCTGCACATCCCTTGGATACTTTGGGGCAATTCATCATGGCCAATCCACCTAACATGCACATCTTTGGATTGTGGGAGGAAACCCACGCAGACATGGGGAGAATGTGCAAGCTTCACACAGACAGTCAGCCAATGCTGGAATCAAATCAGAGACCCTGGCACAGAGAGGCAGCAGTGCTAATCTCTGTGCCACCATGCACTGACCATAAATAAGTGCACTTTGTTAAAGTAAATAGCAGATGATGGTTACGATCCATCGACCTCTGGGTTTTGGGCCCAGCACACTCCCACTGCACCACTCTGCTGTTTGAGTGACACGGTTTGCACAAATTTTTGTACGTATAGAAAGAGATGCACTGGATCAGTGCATCAGTACCACTGATATGAAGACATACAAATGTGTACATAGAGAGAGACAAATGGGGAGAGAGAAGGAGATGGACGGAAAGTCATGCAGATAGAGAAAAACAGAGACACATGCAGATAAAGACAGACAGGGAGAAACACATTGTTATGATTCCCATAGGTGGCAATATTGGACAAGTCAGGTATTAGTCAAACCTGGCTTGCTAGACCTTTAACATTTTTATAAAATGGGGAGGTCAAAGATTTCAAATAATCCATTGCTATATCTCCCACTCCCAGTGAAATCTTAACAATAGTCAAAACCATTATAAAATTCCAACCTGAGTAATATAATTCACAACAAATCCTTTTTCTTTGTACTTGTTATTTTAAGGATTCACAGACTTGATACTTCAACAATCTTTGATTCTAGCAGATGCCCCCACTTTATTACAAAACTAGCTGTTGTTAATAATGGACAAGTAGACTTCAGAGTGAAGTATGGCTTATTAGACATGAATTTTTTTCAGAACACAAGTCAGTTTCTGAATCGTCTGCCAGTGTACTTTTAACATTTAAAAAAGTAATTAAACAAGAAAACATGAACTATATTACACTAGGTTGGAAAGATTTCATTACAGCCACCCAAAAAGCTTTCAAATTCAGTCTATTCCTTCTAGCCCACCCATAAATGTCAACACCTCCGTGAACAGTAACCTCTATCACCACACTAAGGTTTCTTGTTCAGTCTGGCACAGCTGCAACCAGTTTCCTTCTGGCAACTATCTACACGCACACTGGATGCTTTTCTTCAGCTGGTATCTCTCTGTGAGGCACCTGAAACAAACCCCAAGCTAATCTCAGTATTATTTTAACATAAGAACAAACACAAGAATTCTCTAAACTCAGGTTTCAGCAGCCTTACTCTGCCACACATCTATTGGCTTCTAGGTTTTTCTGTCTCTATCTCCCAGGACACCAATCTAAGCACAGCACATTTTTCTTTTCCCTTTTAATTATCTATTTACTGCACTGCTAATTCCCATTTCTTCACTGCAAGAGTTGTAATATCTCATTTAAAATGTGCATGCAATCAAACATCCTCATCAAGTCTGTAAAAAAAACTTTAAAACAAAAACCTAAACCCATGTTACCCCCTCCTTGACATGCAAAATATAAATGAAACTTAAGTTACATGTTAAGAGACCAATCACTTTATGGACTATGGACTGACAAATGGAAACAGCATGAAAAGGGGGGAAGAATGTACAGGGAGTTGTTTGCAGCTTCACTGAATCACAGAAGTAGGGGAGGCACATTGGTTAGCACTGCTCCTTCACAGTGCTAGTGACCGAGGTTCAGTTCCAGCCTTGGGTGAATGCTCTTTGGAGGGTCAGTGCAGACTCAATGGGCTGAATGGCCGTTCCCTGCACTGTGGGGATTCTGTGAAGTGTTATGTTGTAAGAGGCAGCTGTTTGGCACATTGTGTCCACACCACCTTAGGAGAAAAACAAATGCATGAGAAATAATGAGATAACAAGGTGTAGAGTTGGATGAACACAGCAGGCCAAGCAGCATCAGAGGAGCAGGAAAGCTGACGTTTCGGGTCTGGACCCTTCTTCAGAAAAAATGGCTTCGCAGTGGGGTTAAAATTGATTCAGAGATAGGGGGAACTGCCGATGCTGGAGAATCTGAGATAACAAGGTGTAGAGCTGGATGAACACAGCAGGCCAAGCAGCATCAGAGGAGCAGGAAAGCTGACATTTCAGGTC